ATAAATGTATATAAAAAATTGTAAAAACTGATATTAATTTTAGTGTCAGTATTAAGTGAGTGAATTTAATTAAATAATTGATAAATTAAATATTAATTTTTATTTTTTTAATACAAATTTATGATTAAAAAATATAAAAATTGATATTAATTTTAGTGTCAGTATTAAGTGAGTGAATTTAATTAAATAATTGATAAATTAAATATTAATTTTTATCTTTTCAATACAAATTTATGATTAAAAAGCATATTTAATATACTCTTAACTTATACCTTACCTTTAAAATATAAATTAAACAAACTCTTTAAAAATATAATTTTGAGGTAATAATTTGCTTTAATTTATGTAAATAATAATTTGCTTTAATGCAAAAATATTAGATGGACAACTTGCACATTTAGCCGAAAAAGTTGGCTAAGACTAGGAGTACTATTATTCAAAATGGAATGCCGTGGGTATCAAGAAGAAGCTTGACATCCACGCAGAAAAATACACCATAGGGATCAATATGCCCCTTTTCCACTTGGCGATATCGTTCCAATTTCTAATTTTAACTCGTCTCATGTAGGTGAAAAGATTTTATCACATTTTAGAATATTTTGATTTGAGGGGAGGGGAGGGGAAGGGAGAGGAGAGAAGATTTTTTTGAGAAATTAAATTATAATATTTTCATACATTGTAATATTAACATTTTACCCTTTTATTTCTTTAATAATTGTCATTTTAGTCCATTTCAAATAAGAAACCAATTTACTATTATACAATAAAGTCGGCCTCTAATTAAATAGTATCCAAATAGTTTTGACTTATTCTTATTATATTTTAGTCGAATATGATGCAATTTAAATTTAAAATTTTTTATTTTTAACAAAAAGAGAGTATTATTGAATTATTTAGATTATTAATAAGAAATTATTCTTTTATTTCCTTTCCCTCATTTGACTATATTAAAATGTTAAAAAATAAAAAAGCAGAATAAAGAAAAATCTCAAATTCTCGAGAGTAAATGCCTAGATGGAGAACGATGTCAATTACAAATACCATACTTAAAATTACAGAACATTGTCTTATACTGAACCTGTACTTTGGCATAAAATAATTGCATCTTGAATTCTTGATAAGTGAAAGAAGTTTAATAAATTTATCAATCAAGGTTCAAATCTCCCTTAAATTAGTGCTCCTTGGATCTTATTTCCCATTGAAGAGCAAACTTCTTTGGTTTTCTATCATCTTATTCACCAATATTGTGACTATTGTCAACCCATTCATTGTCAGGAAACAAAGATCTCAGCAAATCTGTTTGGATCATACAATCAGCAATTCTACAAAAAATGATTGCCAAAATTCACAGAATCTACAATTCTGCAAGACATTGTAGCGACTTTGTCTTCAGTCAGACAATTTATCAAACATTTTCAGGGCATTATGTCATTCCTTCAATTATCTAGCCCCCTCGTATTGGAATTTCAACAAACACATTGACAAACACAATTGCATCGAATTCATGAGAAAAAAAAAATTCAAGCTTGAAATTTAATCATGTTATCTACTGTAATCCAATTTAACATTACAAATGCTACAACAAAACCCAAAAAAAAAAAAAAACAAAAGGGAACACAAAACCAACCTCTAGAGTTTCTAAACGATGGCAATCTTAGCTCCAGCCTCTTCCAACTGCTTCTTCGCATCCTCAGCCTCGTCTTTAGACACCCCCTCCTTGAACTTCTTTGGCAACCCTTCAATCAAGTCTTTGGCCTCCTTCAACGCCAAGGTCGTCAATGCCCTCACGACCTTGATCACCGAAATCCTGGCATTATTCGGCACATCCTCGATAACGACATCAAACTCCGTCTTCTCCTCTGGTGCGGCTGCCGCCTCGGCCCCACCGGCTACAGGAGCGGCGACAGCGGCGGCCGGTGCGAAGGCTGCAGCGGAAACCCCGAGCTTCTCCTGGAGGTAATCGACGAGTGTGCGGGCCTCCTCGAGAGTGAGGGAGGAGATTTCGGCGCCGAGTTTCTCGATTTTCTCGGGGGCTGCGGTGGCGGCGATGGGACGAAGGTAGGTGGTGCGGTGGGTGAGGTTAGGAGATGGGTTGGAGCGGGAAGGGAATTGAACAAAAGGGGATTTGAAGGGATTTTGCGGAGGAGAAGAGAGGTTTGGAGTAGGGAGAGGGGTGCGGAAGGAGAGAGTAGAGATGGTGGTCGCCATTTCTGCTGATTATCTCTTGGCGAGAGAGTGTGCGAGGAAGATTGGATAAGGGGAAGACCGGGAAGTGGGAAGAGCGCATATACTGTACGGCAAA